CAGGGGCCCCGACGTTGTGGCCCCCGGAAAGGTCGTGAGTGAAGACGTGACATTAGCCCACATCACCTGTCGACCCCACCCCGCTCTCTTCAGCACATGATGGAATATGATCACGCACTTTGTTGGAAGCTTTCAATAGAATGCTCGGATACTATTCTGCATAATCTACAGTAAAGTGGAATTATAGCCCTATCGCACAATAGTAGTTTAACCATTGGGATGTCTACAACGTGTAAATTACCTCAGGACGGTTTGGATTTACACTGGTATATCCATCTGCTTTTTTTTTTTTGCTTTAATAACCCATGTGTTTATACCCAACAACACTCTTGGGCGTCATGATGGCGCAGAGGTTAGTGGTTGTGCTTCACAGCAAGATGCTCCTGGGTTTGATTTTCCCTCCAGGACCTTTCTGTGATGAGTTTGCATGTTCTCCCCGTATCTGCGTAGGTTTCCTCTAGGTTAGGGCGGCAGTAGCTCAGTTGGTAGAGCGTTGGCCTTTGAGCCAGAAGGTCGTGGGTTCAAGCCCCGCTCAAGACTTTCACCATCGACTCCCACTGACTACTGTCGTTGTGTCCTTGGCAAGACACTTAACCTCTGGGAACACCAGCCACAGTGGGGCGGCTGCGGCTGTAAAGTGCTTAACTGCAGTTGTGTCCTTAAGCAAGACACTTCACCCCCATTGCCTAGAATGAGTCTGGTGTGTGTGTGTGAATGGTTGGTGGTGATCGGATGGCGCATACTGGTTGCCTCACTTCTGTCAGTGTGCCCCAGGGCAGCTGTGGCTACAGTAGTAGTTTATCACCACCGTATATGGAGTGAATGAATAATGACGCATGTGAAGTGTCTTTGAGTGTCCAAAAAAGCGCTATATAAAACCAATGCATTATTATTAGGTGCTCCTGTTTTCCCCACTACTAAAAACATGTGCAATGGGTCTTACACACACCTCCTATATGGCGACAAATGCCCACAATAACTGTACAATGTTCATTCAAAGAAATACATGATATATGATAATGATACATATTTGCATTCTTGTTGGAAAGAGCCCTGTAAGTCACCAATTTACTCTTTGGGCTGAGAGATGGATGCTATGCAAATCTTGCTTTTGTCACTAATGTATCCTATTCACTTGAGACAGGCTCTAACTTAGTACTACCAGTGTTTGCTCTGTCTTATCCAAAAGTTTCATACCCATTCTTTCCCATCATCTCGTCAATATTGCACACAATGTACAATAATGTCCTGTGCGGAGGTGATACTGGGCTTAAGTTAGACATTATATCAATGTAGAAATGTCATTAGAAGTCATCCTCTCAATATACCCAGAACTTTTTCTTTGTTCAGGAAGTTTGAATGGCAAAGCTCAAGGCGTAATCTATGGAACTTCACGTGGACAAAACAGTGTGGCCTCTGCGTACAGAGGCCACACATCCTCATGCCGCGGGCTACAGTTGGCCCGGGTGTTCATGAGTCTGGGAGGATGCATGTGAGTAGATGTATTCTTGAGAATTTTAGAAGACAAAGTCAATGGTTTTGTTTGCTACATATTCTGTAGAAGTTTCCAAACTATTCAGACAGAGGGTAGGGAGCTGCAAAACGATCTAAACAACTAACAATAATTTAATTGGCAGAGTACAAATAATTAAACGATCATTACAATATTGTTAGTTACAGCTCTACATGTAAGCCATTTCAAACTTGTGGATAGCACGCTCGCTTCTGTGCAAGAAGGTCTTTGGTTAGATTCCCGAACCAATGGAGTTACCCTGTTCCCCCCCTGTCTGCATAGGTTTTGACTGGGTCCTCCGGTATCCCCAACCATAAAATCCTCCAGGCCTAGACTAAAGCCTGGTTCACACGAGACGATTTTAAAATTGTCGGCCGATTTTTCTCCGTGTTAGACCCCACACGGGGAGATTAAAAATCCTGCGTCTAACCACTTTGGTCGTGCAGTGTGTGGTGCGTAGCCACACGGCAAGATCACGCAAGCCACAAACATCACACACGAACCGACACCCCCCCCCCGAGCATTCCCAGGTCAGACGGAAATCTCACAAAATCTCTCGATATCAAGCGTGACTTCAGAGTAAACAGTCATGGCGGACAAAGAGGATGCAGTGGCGATAGTGTGCAGTTTGTTGTTAACAGAGAAGAGACGTAATCCAAAGAAAAGGCAATGGTCAAAGCCATGCTGCTGTGTTTTGGTTTTTTTCCGGTGTTTCCTCACCGGCTTGTCACCTCGTCTTCTTATTGGCTACACGCCGTAGTCATGGCAACGCGCTCGCTTGTCCTCGGAGGACACCACACACGACCAGAAATCGGGCCAAAACAATCCAACATGTTGGATATCCCCGATTTGAGATCGGGAGCGACGAGTGCAGTCTTAACACACCACACACGGCAGGATAATCTGTAAGATTTTGTTACGGAAATCGGAGCGTTTCTTAAGATTGTCGTAAGGGGTAAATCGGGTCTAAATCGGCCTAAATATCCTGCCGTGTGAACCAGGCTTAAGCCGAGCATCAACCCCCGGAGATGGGTCCCTAGTGGCAATGAAGAATAGGTCAAATGCTCAAGTAAAATGTCCCTATGGAGACAATAAAGTATACATTAAATTAACTTAGTTAGAAACAGTACATTTGTTTTAGGAGCTCTGTCCAAGAGATCGGACTGATTCAACTCAGAGCACACCACAGAAAATCCTAATATATACTGTAACAGACAACAAAGAGCAGAATATGAGCGACTCAAGCATTCACGGAACAACATTGTGTGTGTGTAAACAACACGGCAAAACAATTCTTCCTCGGTTCAAATCCCTTAAAAGTCCACTTTGCATAGTAGATCACCTGTAATGAACGTGGCCATGTGCTTGGCGAGTCACGGATTGGCTTATGACACAGTTTTCCATTGCAAAGACGTAAAAATATGGGAAAATACGGAGCTTTTGTTGGAGCCGTGAAACGTGACCACGCTACAACCTGGGCATATGTGGACTGAAGGAGTGAGATTAGAGATGAGAGTATAAAACATGCTAATGAATGGTGAAATGTGTTATTAAAACATATCCAGCAGATGGTTGTGTTGTTTTTTATTCAATCAGTGGAATTCATTATAAAACTCTTTCAGCTCTTCTAATGCAGTTTGATCATACAACTTATTCTCCAAATTGTTTTTCCACAAACTTAAATTAGTGCCTATTATTATGATAAATACAGCTTTTAATCATGTTACGATGCTTCTTTAAAACCACACCTGGAGCAGTGTTTGGTTTCAATTGAGGGAATTATGGGTAGATTCCCGTTTTATTTAATCATAGGACACATAAGAGGCAAAACTGTCTTGTTATCCTTTTTGTTTAGACCATACTACATTGCTCCACATCAACATAGACCTGGAGTTATTAGCCACATTTGTGCAACTATCAAGAACTTATTTTCTGTCTTTGGTCCAAGCTGCTACTCATGGGCCTTCTTTAATATTGTGTCATTTGATTTTGTGAAAGCATCGGCCCAGATTAATTACGTCAATATCATGTACTCATTTTCTTGACCTTTATCTAACCAGGACAGTCCTCCTTATATACAGTATACAGAATCTATTGTTCATGAAAGTCCTGACCCCAGAGAGAGGGGTGGGGGGACTAAGGTTCTAATGTACATGTCTTTTGTAGAGACACCAGAGCACACAGACAACAGACATGAGGAGAACATGCAAATACCTTCAGAACCAGAACACTAATGTAATTAACCCTAAAACTCCCAGGCGGGGACACACACTTCTCAGTGTGTGTCTCAATGTGAGGAGTTACTCTCTGGATCATATAATAACATCTTCAAGTGTTCAAGAAGTACATGGAGGAGAGAGAGTGGGGCCCTCAGCACAGAGCAGCTGATGGGAGAGAGGGCTATGGTCAGAGAGTGTTTGGGCCAGTGTGTACGTGTGTGTGTGTGTGTGTGTGTGTGTTGTGTGTTGTGCCTAATACCCCATGGTAGGGTATTGTATATTACTGTATGTACTGCACAGTATTAAATTTGTATTTATATTGTATGCTGATTAGTTGCATTGTATTCTGTGTATTATTGTGAGAGGGGGGATAGGAACAACTAAGCATCTGTTTCATTCGACCCATTTTCAATCCTGCATTACTATAAAGATATGTGAAATAATTTGAAATAAATCAAACTTACTAACTACAAACACTACTCACTACAGCTGAATGTGGGGTGCCCAGCCTGAGATGTTTTGAGTTTGGAAGACTGTTCAGGCTATGTCCAGAACCAAACCCCCTGTGTAATGAGTCCATGTTGCTTTTGTTTATTTTAAAGTTATGTCTCTTCTTCTGTTTTCTTTAGCTGTTTGCTTTTAAAATAAGTTTCTTTTGGTTCCTTTTCAACTAACTTAAGAACAGCTGCAGGTGTGCGCCAAGACTGCACACATGTGAAGCAGTGGAAGAGGCAGCGGAGATTATCTGTTTTTTCAAAATAATTATAATAATAATTGTGAAGTATACATGCACAAAGTTTGCTTCTTTTAAACAAACACCAAACGGTTCTGTACGTTTGAAGAATGAGGCCTACACATGCATCCCTATGAAAAGTCTCGCAAATACCACCATCTGTAAGTAAGTAAGTAATCTTTATTCATATACCGGCTTTCACAGACCAGAGTCACAAAGCGGTTTACAATTGTTTTTTTGTTTTTTTTGCATCATGTCTAAAACAGGACATTTCAGTGTCTCAATTAGGGAAGCTCAATCAATGTGGAATTAATCAGATCTCCCCAGACCGGCTCAATTAAGTGGAAAACAGAAAACAAAATGTATAAATGTATCAAATGGCTTCATGTAACTACTACCATGACAAAATCTCTGGCCAGGTTTGCAAACTTTCAAGCACAACGGTAATTGAATGTACAAAATTGATATTTGAAATTTATCTGATCGCAAATAATATCAGTATGCTCTTTCTGATCATGTGCCTCTATAAATCTTGTTATTGTTGTTGCTGTAATCCGGTCTGCTTTGCGGCTGCATGACTTGTCAACACTGGCAGTACACTGTGCTCTGAGCGGGGCACTTCCATTAGCGCTGGTGTCACACAGTGTAGTGTGTGTGGCCCTTGCGCCTGCTGGCTCTGTCCTCTGCCCGGCTCCTTCCCCCCCTTCTCATCGCACACAGGACCCGGGGCCCGAGGTCGCATCAGGAGCCCCGAGGAGAGCAGCTCTGACTTTCCACTCGCTCTGATCGGGAGAGGGCCCTGACCGGATACGAGCGGACACTGCCAGCCCCTTGAAAGCCTTTGCTCTGGTCTTTCATGTGCGCCCGCGGTGAACGTGTGTGTGCGCACGCGTGTCACTGCTTCAGCCGTACATGAGACATCACACGGGCGCACTGTCAGACGCCATCCCGCGGTTCATCGGCAAAGGTCGTCTCTGTGGTGACGCGAGAGAGAGGGAAATACTGGACAGATGAAGATGGATTTGTTTGTGTTATCAAAGGAGCAGGGTGTGTGGAGCTTTTATTCCACCAAGGGGTGCGGAAGTGAGACAACCCGAGATCCACAGTTTTATTCAAGGGACAATATAATATGCACTATTAGTGGTCTATTTATCAATTATAGATGTTTCACTCAAAATGTCAAGACACATGATCCCATTCATTCTTTTCTTTTCTTTCAAATCGTCCTGGTCCCTTTGCAGAAAAACAGACAACAATGTATGATGTTTCCACCCCCAGGCGTCACAGTAGGTGTTCTCTTCCTTTTTGTGTTGCGATCAGCTGACCATAATGTCATCTTGATTTAGTTCAATGGAGAAAAAATCCCATATGACCTTTCAAGTTCTATACAACTAATTTATTACACACAATCAATTCGATTTTCCCAAAAATAATAACACAGCCCCATGACTCTCTCTGGTGTAAACGTAACAGTTTCCGAAGAACAAACTTCTTTCATGCTAATATTACTATATTCTGGTGTGTTGTAAATTGGTCCAAAACATTGTAAAACAGTTAAGTTGAGGGTTTTAACAATTTAATTGGATACAAATACATCTGATCCTTCCACTTCCAGATGTCATTCCATCAGAATAAGAGGACATTTTGTGTATAAGAATGTTAATGTAATTTGTGTCACCACTTTTGAACACTCAACATTGTTCATTCACTCTGTACCCACGACAGGGGTGGTACTATTGTAGCCACAGCTGCCCTGGGGTATACTCATGTGATGTCCCCTTTCATAAAACAAACACTGAATTTGCATTTGGCTGCATGTAATCTCTTGTCTTTTCTGATCTGATGGATGCAGACAGTGCGCTGGCGGCCGCACTCGCACCACCCTGAAAAGTGACGCGGGCAGGGGTCAAAGCAGGGCATGCGCTGATCCACTCGGCCCTTTGGCTCCGTCGGCGCTCAGGGCCTGTGTCACTGTTAACACTTCAAACAGTCCATATCTGCACCGCGCACAAAGGATCGCACACGTCTCTGTCTCAGTGCTATGGATCCTGGAAAGGTCAGCGCTGGCTCAAATCCCAATCATTAACCTACTGACGCTAATCTAGTGCTGCGCACGCAAGAGCCAAGGCTTTGCCAATGTGACACGTGCACATTGAATAGCAAATAGAATGGCACACAGGATCGGACGGAGGAAGAAATAGGTAGTGCTCGGAATAAAATTGATTTGAAATCAATGTCACTACTTTCAAAAAAGTTTGGCTCTGTCACTCGTTTTCACATTTTGTATATCTATAGATCAGCTTTTTCAGCTAAGATAATATTAGTTCCAATTAGATGAAGACATCATTTAATGGTCTTATTTGTTTACAAAATGTTACTTTTATAGGACTCTAATGGGACAAAAAAGATAATCATTGTCAAAAAGGTTACCTTCCCTAGCTCTAATACTAACGCAAAATTATATACCAATGAATCCACAGAATAAATATGGCTGACTATCACTAATATAACTCCAGTCACATACCTGTCGATTCAGATGAAGTTGTTGGGGAGTTACAGTATGATATAGGCATGGTCAGGGTTGGGTTCACTGGGTTCTGACGTGAACCCAGTCCAGGAGAGCAGTTTTTGTGAAGAATGTCATCAACTCATAGATAATAATACAATAATAATAATACATTTTATTTGTGGGCGCCTTTCAAAATTCCCAAGGTCACCTTACAGGCAGCATACAAACAGTATAAAACATACATTAAAAATACATTACAAGGCCCAGAATTAAAATACAGTGTGGAGTGGCAGAAGTTCTATAGAAAGAAATGAGAAATACAGTATGGAGGATTGTGTGGGATCGGCGCGTCTGAATAGCTCAGTTTTGAGTCGAGATATTAAATATGGTGATGGAGACTATTGCACGAATGTCTTGTGAGAGATGATTCCAGAGTTTGGGGGCAGAGCGGCTGAAGGCCCTGAGGCCCATGGTGGACATTTTGGCTGGAGGGACAGAGAGCAGAGAGGCAGAGGAGGAGCTGAGTGGGCGGGAGGGTGTGTATGTCTGAAGGAGATCTGACAGGTATGGAGGTGCGAGGTTATGAAGTGCTTTGAAGGTGAGGAGAAGAATTTTGTATTCTATACGGGAGGGAATCGGTAACCAATGCAGCTGTTTGAGAAAAGGAGTGATGTGCTGGGCAGAAGGAGTTTTGGTGATGATGTGTGCTGCTGTGTTCTGAACCATTTAGGGATTTGTTTGGTAGACAATAATCAAGGAGGGATGTGACCAGGGCATGAACCAGTGTAGCTGTGCTGTTAGATAGTCAAATCGTTTTACAGACTGTAATATTTTGCATCCCTACAACTACAAATGACTTGTATGTCCTCTTATTATTGACCTTTATATAATCAAGAAAGTCCCACTGAGGTGTGAGAATCTCTTTTTCAGGGGAGTCCTGTCCCCAGAGAAAGGGCAGCTATTGTACTATTGTTCGGACCATTTTCTCTGCTCTTGTCCAAAGTGAGATGCTGAAGGTGTAATAGTGGTAGTGTCAGGAGTTACAGACAAAAAGCATTTTTTACTCTTCATACTTGTTTCAACGTATTATATTATTTAACATTCTTAAACATAAAAGGATGATCAATTTCAAGGGTCATAAACAATGCACACAATGTCTCCTTTAAAAGCATTCTCCTCAACTGTGCTCTTCAGAATTACCCACTTCCAGATTGATGAGAATGGACATCACTTTCTCTTTGCTGTTGTGAGCTGATGGTTTGTGGGGATGATCTGATTTCAGGTCCATGGAGCCGTCTGCGGAGGCTTCCTTTGGAGCCGCTGTTATACTCTGGGTACCACTCAACACTCTTCAGTTTCCACCCAGAGCCTGTTTCTCACCAAAGATTACATTTGACCACTCACTACAACTGGCCACTTTAATCTGGGACGTACTCATTGCATTACACCACAATCACCTCTTTTTCAGGGAGAAATACACCGCTTTTTGGGTGTATTTAGTCTGAAACTCCACCACATAAAGATCTCGATATAGCATAATATTGAAAATGGCTGAAAACTGGCACACCTTTTTGTTTGATACAAAATCCATGTTGCTTTTTCAGGGGCGTCAAACTAATTTTGGTCAGAGGCTGAATAAAAAAATAGGCACATGGTGTGGGACCAAAGATTAGAGGGGATTTCCTTTCCTTATAATTGTTTTTATTTTTTTTCAGTATCAACGTATTTTAATATTACTGTACTTTAATATGACATAATTTTCACAATTTCTTTCTGGTTGATTTTTCTGAAAACAAAATGTGTTTTACTGTTTGTAAACCTGGACCAATAATATATTTAAACACATTGCTTTATATTGAACCATTTAACTTCTTATCATGTGTTGGGTTTACGTTATAGAATAAATTAAAGTTTATTGTAATGGGCTCTTTTGTGTAGCCAATTACCATCAATGCTGCAAGTTAATAATAATAATTGAAAATCATTGCAGGGGCCACTAAAAATGGTCTAGCCTGAATTTGGCATTCAAGCCAGAGTTTGAGAAGAGTGAGAGATGATTGGCTGAGTGAGGGTGGTCTTTCCTTTTTCACTTTTCTGTCTGAAAAATCTAAATCTGTGACGGAGGACATATACAAGCATGTGAAAACTAGTGATTGGACCAAACTTTTTAAGAGCCTGTTTTGACTTGTGACCTGGTTTTATTACATATTTTATCATTTGTCATCTGAAAGGTAGGTACCCCAGGTGATTTAGTTTGTTAGCTAAAATCCTTGGAGTCATTTGGCACCGTGGTGGGCTTTTAGGTAGAAATGTCAAATGGCACCTCCATGGGAGTTCTAGTGTTAATACAAGACAATTGTACATACAAGTACATGAATTTACACAGAAAACATACACATATTCAGCATCTTCTATGAGCATGGATTGTTTTTCAAAAATTTTTTTATCACCCCTCTAAAGTTGTGGTACCTAACTTGTTTTTTCATAACAATACATAAAAAGCTTTTCTAAAGATGTGACAGATGAGTAACGTGACAAACACTGGACAAGACATGATTTTGACAATACGCTTTAGCCTTATAGCATAATTGCAATGTCAATGTTTTTGAAATATTCAAGTCATTCTTAAGATCAATTTATTCTTGTAAAGCCCTAAATCACAGTATTTATCTTGGAGGACTTTATAAAAATGAAGCTTTAGCGTAAATTCAGACTGGAAAGACCTCTGCTGCAGCTCTCATCCATCCAAGGCCAGCCTCTCAAGCCTCAGCCAATCACACAGCTCTGCGAGTCTCGAGCCTCAGCCAATCACACAGCTCGGCCAGCCCCCCTGCCAACCTATTGACAGCTAAGCGGGCAGTTTAAAACCAGCCACTTCCTACTAACCAGCGCTTCTCAAAGCTCTTGACACCCACCGCCTCCCCGGCACCTCCTCAAGCTCCTGCTCTGGCTCCTGCCCTTACTCCAGCTCCGCTTACGCCCAACTCACACCATGCTCGAGCCACTATCAGTGCTTGACCCATTTGCTGCTGAAGAGATCATCTTCAGCAGCAAATGATCTCCTCTCTGCAAGTGTCCCTGCCGGGGTCGTTGCGCCAAAAAATGAATCTTTCTAAGTGCATTAATGTGTCTGTTTTGGTCTCTCCAGATTGAACTGTTGAATTTGCCAAACACAGATCAGATAATCCAACAGTTCCAAAACATGAAATGCATTGTTAAAAACACATAGAGCCATTGGTTCATGGGGGACAGATGTCCAATGTCCATAAATATTGAATGTTGAGTGTCCAGGATCATCACCACTGTCCTTTTAGCCACTGTCCTGCATCGGCAAGAGAGATCCGTGCCCAAGACAGGCTGTAGATCCAGGACCTACAGATCTTCATGCATTATAGAGGCTTACAGTGTGGTTGTTAAAAATAGTTTGTACTCACCTTTAGGTTGAGCACCAATCAGCCTGCGATCCCTCACCAATGCCTGTTACTCGGAAAAAGTCTCTCACATTTCCACTACTCCTGGCTTTTCCCTGCAAAGAAACAAAAAAGAAGTGAATAAAGAAAAAGCTGCGTATAAATATATAATTGTCCGTTGGAGTGTGTTTTGCCCAGTGGGAGATTGTCGTGGCGGCGTCTAGAGCGCACTGCGGGCAGTCTCTGGAGGGAAGGTCTCATTTTCCACCTCCTGCTGGCAGATATTCAGCCTGGCTTCGAAATAATATGCGTTAGTAGGCTTAACGCTTTTTCAAATACGCTGCAGATAATGGACGATGCGTCAAGTCAAGCACGCAGGACATAAGCTGAGGAGCGCGCAGATTTGAAGCTACACACAGGCTTCTACACAGACAGTGATATAAATGAGAAAATCTACTGTAGTGAAAATATAGGCAGCATTGGAGTTGCACATTTCATTGGGCTGGATAACAAGAAAGGACTTTTATAGACCATAGATAGATATACTTTATTGATCCCCGTAGGAGACAATTCAGGTGTCCAGTAACAGCAGAAACACATCCATCCATAGAAACAAAACAACTAAATACATAATTCAAAAAGTAGCAAACAATAGTAATGGTTAGGTAATGAGGTGGAGTAGCCACTGGGTGTAGTAGCCACTGGGTGGAGCGGGACAGGTCATAGCAGCAGAGGTGGTGTAGTCGCTTGGTTTGGACCATTTTCTCTGATCTGGTCCAGTGTAAAAATGTGAATGCTTTTTTAGGTGTTAAAAAAAATATATATCTAGTGTTCTTCCAGAGGTTTTTGATTGGTCTGCTTGGTTGGGACCGTGAATCTTCTCTGCCCTGTTCAGGATCAGTTTAAAAGAGGGGTGTCAAACTCATTTTGGTCTGGGGGCCAAATACGACCTAATTGGATCTCAACTGGGCAGGACCAGAAGATTCTCTACAAAAATACCCAAAAACACTAGAAAGTCCAACTTTTTGTATATTTATTTAAAATACCCTTAAACACGGTCTAATACTCGCTCAGTTTAACTGTAAATCTGTTACAAACTTAAATGTACTGTAACAGTGAATTTTTCTTAGTACAAATAATGTAATGTATTTACAGTATTACATTTGAATGTTAGCTTTGTTTTATCGAGGCCCATTACAGAGAAAACTTGCTCACAAAGGCAAAGTAGGTAGCTTTAACAAAGGTACAGTAGGTAGTTAGAAAAAAAGCAGCTTAACCATCTTCAGTGTGGTAAGGTCCATGGTTATGTTATTGTCACAGAGAAAGCATCAAACTGACCATAATTCAGTTGACATTAACAAAACAACTTCCATAACGTGATCCATTCTTAACGACTGCAGCAGTGTCTCTGTTAAATACAGTCAAATGCTCTGTCCAACGCACCGGCAGCACCAGCTCCAGCGCTAAAATCTCCTCTGTGATAGTCAAAGTTTCAGTAACACCACAAATGAAAATGCGACATCAGTAACATCAGTCTCTCATCAATGGCAACATGATGTTGGTAAAAGCGTGTTATTTTCTCAGGACACAGTCTGCAGCCTGTAGGAGAGTCACTGTGCGGCTGCAATGCTAATGCCATGTTGTTAGCACAGGTAGCTTCCCTTTACAGTAGCAGCACTAACCTCTCTCTCTGGGCACAAACAGACTGCTGTTTCTACAGGACCAGACACGTTTATCTTCTGTCTTCTCAATTCTCCGCTCAAAGCGTCAAGTCTCGTAGTTTAAGTTGTTATTCCTTCAGCACAGCCACTTGTTGCATGACATCAAGCACCGATGTTTCATTCACCTCCGCGAAGAAGAATTAGTCCACTTTTCTAGGAAAAACCCAACACTCAATGTACACTTTTCGCCTTTTTGACAGAGACTTTTTGATGAGGGGGGTCAGTCACAGAGCACGCTCTGGTGGGAGCCACTACAGACGCACTCAACTTACTACTGACCTCAGCGCTGTGGCGCGTGGCGTCGTGTTGCAGATTTAAAACATATCATTTTACATAAATGAGCCGCAGACCGTGTCAAATCTCCTGGCGGGCCGGAAACGGCCCGCGGGCCGCATGAATGACACCCCTGGTTTAAAGCCATGAACACTGTACTGGAGTAACATTTACAGGAAGAAAAAAGCAAGCATAATAACAATTGTAAAGCATAAAACATCAACTGTTTTAGACCTACTATGGACTTCAGTAAAGTAGTAAAATAATAGACAGTAAATGCACAAATATTTGAGTCATCAGGAATGGACAGATCTAAGGCGTGGGGTACCTAACTTTCAAATGTGGTACTGTGTAATAAACCATATTTAATAGTTTCACACATTTCTGGCCTTTGTCAGCTTTTTTAGTCAAGAAAATGAGAAGAAGAGGATCACCCTCACTCAGCCATGTCTGAGTGTCAGTGACTCTCAGAGCTACAGTGTTTCTTGCAAGATGCAAGATGACATGTTATCTACAAAGATGTGGTCTGATTTGCCCGCAACACTTTTTTTTCAGCTCTCTTTTTGGAGGACAAGCAGGTAATATATTATTTATTCAAAAGTTAGGTATCCCAGCTTTAATTGTGACCTTGTCTTTCACTTTTAGCAACCTGAATTGGCATTCTATCCAGTTTATCTCCACTTTTTCCCCTAATAAAGTAAATCGATATCAACAGAGGTGAGATGAGAATAGTTCGAGGAAGTAGCCTGTTTTTATAAGTTAAGCTAATATTATGCTTATTATGCTAAATGTATGTTTTTAGATGACAGAGTAAGTGGGAGATTTGTTATGAATGACAGAACTAAACTGTGTGTAGGGGATCGTCTCTTACTGGGTCTAAAACA